CTGCACAGAGTGCTGTTTATCGGATTCTTACGGTACAGCTTACCTGCAATATCTAACACCGGCAAGACCAACCTGCGCGCATTTCAGAGCATTCAAGCCCAAGCACTTAAGATATGCCTTGGATTACCCCGCAGTGCATCAACGGCTGAAACCATTGCCATCACTCAAGATCACTCGATAAAGACGCATAATATTACCGAGACAATGTGCATGCACCTCAGGTATTATGCCAGGACCCCTTCTCACCACCGGGCGAGCCTAGCTCCTGAAAGGCCCCACACGACATACGGCACTATTGTCCACAAGCATTGTTCATCGTTTGCTGAGACATACGCACCTGCATCAAAGCCACTGCTTCCTCTTTGAAGCTTGAGCCGGCCGCGAGTTCACTTAATGATTCCAGGAATGAGGAGAAAATCGGACTTACCGACACATGCTCTGAAACAACTGGGTCTATTCCTACTGGAACAAAACTACAGTAACCACATGCACATTTACACTGGTGGCTCTACTACGCCGTCTAGTTCAGGTGGAGCAGTAGTTATACCATCACAAGGGGTAACTCAGTGTTTTAAGACTTCACATGGGACAACGTCAACGGCGGCAGAACTCGAGGCTCTGTGCAATGCACTGGAACTCATCAATTCAGAAGAAAGACCAGGTAAATGGGCTGTGTTTTCTGACTCAAAACCAGCGTTACAGTGCCTGATATCAGTTCTCCGATGCCGATACTACGACCAGTTACCTACCAAACCGTGAAACTTCACCACCTTTTAATACAAAAAGGCCATGACATTGTCTTTCAGTGGTTACCTGGGCATTGTGGTATAGGCAGCAATGATTCTGCAGATCATGCTGCTCGCACGTCACATAAAGAAGCGAACAGCGTTCCGATTCCGCTTTCAAGAGCGGATGCGGCGAGGCAGATTCGTCAACTGGCCCGCAGTCTCACACTGGCTGAGTGAAACACACCAACCATACGACGTACAAGACTGCACGAGCTCGACGCTTCGCTACAACTCCGGCCTCCACCTGGCCTACATCGACATGCAGCTTCGCTTCTCTATCGCCTTTGGCTGGGAGCTGCTTTCACAAAAGCTTATACCACGTTAATCGTAATTACTGACAGCGTGGCGTGCGATGTTTGCGGCACCGACGAAAATATCGAACACCTGCTGTGCCATTGTCCTCAATTTGCCTCAGATAGACAAGTACTTGCCAACGCAATGCGGCGACTGGATGATCGGCCTCTTTCTGTGCAGGTGCTATTACAGCAACGTCCACATGCCTCGACAGCCTACAAGGCAGTGAAAGCCCTGCTGTGTTTCCTGAGAAAGACAGGCTTGCGTGAACGCCTCTGACATGCGGTAGAGTTCTACACGCTGCAGTGAAATTACTGTCAGTCTCTCCCCCACCCTTTTTTTCTTTTTGATCTCTTCCCTCTTTCTCGTCTTTCTTGTCCCCTTCCCTAATCCCCCAGTGTAGGGTAGCCAACCAAATGTCTTTCTGGTTAACCTCACTGCTTTCTCCCTTTTGTTGCTTCCTCCGTGTCAAACAAACGTGGCGTTGCAGTTAATGCGCTCTCCTTTACAGTCCTGGGTGACCAAGGCATTGATGAATGCTACCGTGCAGGCCACACATACGGGGGGCTGTAGAGCATGGGGCAGAACTATTCTTCCGGACTCCCAGGTTGTCTGTCACCTCCTCCAACAAGATTCACAATTCCTATAGGCTATAGCGCTGTAATGCGGCTTCTCCGTAACAACCACTCGATCTTCTGGCACCCGATACATCAGGGGTTGGAGTAAAATGAAAAAGAAAACACCGTCGCTGTAGAGCAACGGCTCCCGAAACTTTCGGAGTGGGGACTCTGACAACCACATGTAGGAGACTTCGAAATAACGGTTCCTATAGCCAAAATCACTATACCACTACCCTAAGGAACCTGCTCACCCACCAGCATTTTACACAAGTATTCGCCCACGCTCACAGACACATAGCAGGAGAGAAAAATATCAGTTGGAGAAAAATTCAAGCGAGAATTTCTCTTCTCTCGAAAAAATTACGCGCCATGTTCTTGACGTGCCATGTGGTTCCTGTCGCTGTTAGGAATAATGCTCTACCTTGTACCACACTCCCTGACGCTGCTTAAGGAAGCCCCACGCCTCACAGAGACAGAAAAAAAAAACAGAAATCGGAACAGTGAGAGGTGCCACAGTATTGCTGTTCTCGTTAAATAGCAAATGCTGTTCAACCAGGTTGGGTGACCTGCGAAGGGCTAATACCATTGAAAAAAATGTAGTGAGGGAGCCCCCCCCCCCCTACCCCCTATTTTTCACGATTTCTTTTCAAAATGTTTTTTTTCTGTTCTGTTGTGCGCAACATTGACCCAGTGTTTACGGTGCTTGGCTGCTGACCTGTAGGCCACGGGTTTCATCCCGGATGCGGCTGCCGCATTTAATTGCAGGTGAATTGCTTTAAACTGTAGCACTTAGATATAGGTGTGCGTCAAATAACATGAAGTTCAATCGTGTTATTCATCAATGCTGCGTATTTGCGTGCATGTGTGGCATGAGTTATTATACGTGCTCGTGGTCTTATTTCCATTCTTCAACTATTTTCTGGCAGGTTCTCTACTACAAAAGCTAAACGAGGGATAGAAAATAATATCCACAAAATTTTTCTTTTCAAACAATGATTACTAGGGGATGTTCTGAAGCCCACTTTTGATGGTTCGAAGTTAAGCTTCTATAGGCTTGGGTCACGTAGTATTGCTCCCAACGTTTAAGAAAAAAATCATTGCTCTTGTCACTGCTTCAGAGCAAATTTACAAGCGTACAGACCCCAGTGAGGTAAAGTTATTATGCCTTAAGTCCTTTAAACTGAAGCTATGTATATCAGATGACAGGTAATAGCTTAGGACAGGTAGTAATCGTGGAGCCGAACCCTATGAGTGAAATAACTAGAAGAATAAGGATGAGGTGGATCAAATTCGGCAAGCATTTTCAAATCGTGAATGGTAATATACCACTAACTCTCAAGTGGACGGTATGTAACAGCTGCATCTTGCTGGTATTTGCCTACAGAGAAGAAACGTGGAGTCTTACAAATAGGGTTCAGCTTAAATTGAGGACGACGCAGCGAGCAATGGAATGGAATATGATAGGTGCAACCTTAAGAGACAAGAAGAGAGCAGAGTGGGTTAGGGAACAAACTAGGGTTAAGGATATCATAGTTGAAATCAAGATGAAGAAATAGACATGGGCCGGGAACGCAGCACGTATACGCAGGATAACCGCCGCTCAATAAAGCTAACTGACTGGATTTCCAGAGAAGGCAAATGCACGAAAGCGTGACAGAAAGTTAGGTTCGCAGACGAGATTAGAAAGTTTGCAGGTATAACGGGGTAGCAGAAAGCTCAAAACTGGGTTGATTGGCGGATCATGGGAGAGGCCTTTGCCCTGCGATGGGCGTAGTCAGGCTGATGATGTTGATGATATGTGTGTTGTAATAAAATGATTTGGAGACGACAGCGCATATTAAACTTGTGAAGTCTGCTGAGGAGCTTTTTATACGTAGTCAGCCTACATTCAGTGCATTATAACGCAATGACACTATCCATAAAGGGGAAGGGGAGCAAGCCTAAATGTAATCAAAGTAACTTCTAGGTTCATGGTTGAGGTTTGTCCTCTCTACACTGCAGTGCGACCGCCGATATTAAGCAACCGCATTCACACCCCACTGCACTGCCTCAGCAGGGCAACAGAGTGCCAAGAGCACTGTGATCTGCCTGCCGATTCTGCGGGCGTATTTGTGTCGCAGCTGGAAATGCACTTGCTGTTTCCGGTTGCTGATGCCGTGCTGCAATATAATCGGGCGACAAGAATAAAAGTACAATCCCTCTCGATTTTCTACATGGTGCTACAGCTAGAGACAGTTCTTTATAGCACTCAGACGAGGTGAAGTTGCATTGCAGTTGCGAGAAGGTTTCATTCAAATACAGGGTCATGTATGCGTGTACTCACAGAACAATGTTACAACCAAGCTCTTAACATTATTGTGTGCATTGACGGCTACAATAAGGTTTGTCTTCAAGAAGCCTGCAAGGGTTATCAGTGTTAGTAAAAGCATGAGCTTCACATGAAGGCAAGTGTGCGAATAATTTTTTTTGCGCATGCTCAGGAAACACACTATGTTTTCGAACCTTTCTGGGGATAATTGGTAAAGTTTGCGCCTATATGTACAACAGTAAGCGGGCTATATATGTAAGTGGTTATTATGAATGATTCGACAGATATGTGAAACAACATGGACTAGAAACACGAATTGTGAAGGTGTTCACGGGTGACTTGTGGCTAATGAACGCGTATTTTTTCACGAGAGATCCCAAGAACTGTTACCTATGAGACGCCATGGCGTGCGGGATGCGTTTTGCGCTTTTGCAGGTGCGGGGTGTGCGTATAGATTAGTTTGAATCCTGCCGCAGAATTGTGACGCAATCGTTGAATCCGAGCACAATCGGTCTATGAAGTCAAGCTGCAGAAGAATTCACAACGGTCATTTGCATAAATTAGCTGTAGCATTATAACGCCCTAACTTTATACAGTTCATGCATCCCCTACCAAAATGATTCTTTATTTTTCTGAATTGGTAAACACTTGCATTGTCTGGGCTAAATCATGACTCATGTTGCATGCATATAATAACGATTGTCTCAAAAGCCCGATGTTATTACGAGGGCCGCCGTAGTGGAAGTCAGTGGACATGTCGACGGCATGGGGTTCTTGAACGCACACCTAAATCTAAGTACATGGACCTCAAACATTTTATACTTGATTGAAGATTCGATCACCGGGGCCGAGTTTCGATCCCACGAAGTTTGGATCGAGCACCACATACACTAGACCACCATGCTGGATCATATTGAGCGCGGTGCTCGTTACTTGCGTGCTCCTCTCTTTAAACTTGTGTTAAGAAATACGCATTCTTAAGGAGCTCACCTCTTTCAAATTGGGCCACTTGTCAGGGATAACGTGGGCGTGTAGGTCAATCTTGGGTGTTGATGGCATTGACGGCGCGCTCATGGTGGGATGTTTTGAGTTCTGTCTTCGCAGTGAACGGATCAGTACCGCGGCTTTCGTTGTTTCAGTTGCCGCGCTTTCCGTTCTGCCGTATGTTATACTGCGCGGCGTTCGTTTGCTCTGCCTGGCCCCGACTGCGCTGTCTGCTTGCGAACAACGGGATAAGCAAAAACGTTCTCCGCTTATAGAGAGAAGGCTCGTCCCCACTGATAGCGCGAGGGTGTGTTGTCGGCCGCCTGTGCACTCACTCACGCCTTTACGGCATGTCTACACGCTCCAAATATGCCCTCTGTCTATCCACACGCTCATCTTCGTATGCTACGCTGGAAACAGCATCGTAAAAAAAGAACGAGACAGGCATCTCTAGGAGGAAATTGCCGCGACACTGCAGAGAAGGCAATCTACCAACGCATGCAGTGCGCGTTATCAATGCTTGGAATACTGTCAGATTTCAACTCGACTTTCACGATTCGCAGAATTGAGCCAGTTCCTGTCTTCTCCTAATGACGATTTCGATTGACCACAAGTTGGTCATTTCCGCTTAAGAAGTCCGTTGCTTCGTTGCCGTCGTTTACCTTTCCTGATCGGCAATGTTTTCGGAAGTTCTGATTATAGAACCTAAACAAATGAAAGTGACATAAGGTTCTCTGCACCAGGTTACATGGCCAGCTTACAGATCCCAACAATATAACCCTTTGATGTCACTGTCAATCATCGTGTGTTCGCCACATAAAGATCACTTTTTAATTTCTGCTATCAAAGAAGCACTTGCTTCATGTGAACGGACATCACTGCACCCGGTGAAATGTCCTACAGAGCGCTGTGCCATCGAGGTGAGCATGTGAAAATACAACGAATCCTGGTGAATGGTCATGGCCCACCTAAGCTCTCTTAGAGAACACACTTCGAACGTCTCCTGAAACACTCCTGCAGCCGCTAGTGAGATTTCTGAGAGCTACCTCTAAAGATGCTATTCGTATTCGTAAAAGAGGCCCGGTAATTTTCATATTGCCGCGGAAAAGCCGCAGCGTTATCATGTTGGCCAAGAATGTGTTCATTTTTCTTTGTGAACGTAGTCATCTTTTCTTATAGTCTTTTCTTATTTGGAGGCTTATAGAAACGCAGGGATGCTGATTAGCGGGAGCTCATATCTTGTGATGCATTAAGCATTCTTTCTAACGCACTGACGCATATGACATAAAGATGCATCGAACAAACAGGAGTGCTGTCTGTTTTCATGTTATTAATTTTTCAAGACAGGAAAAGTGCGAAGTCGTGTTCGGATAAATACGAGCGCGAGGCTTAGGTCACGGTTTACAATTTTGATGAAATTTACCTCCAGCGTGGGTTATAGGCAACAGAAAAAAGTAATAGTGAAGTAAGCACTGCCAAAAGAACCTCGTTCACTCGAAAAACAAATAGAAATATTGCCTGCAAAAAAAGTCAATTCCACAATTTCTGAACTTTAACCATCATCATAATCATCATCAGCCTGACTACGTCCACTGCAGGACAAAAAGGCCTCTCCCATGTTCCGCCAGTTAACCCGGTCCTGTGCTTGCTGCTACCAATTTATATCCGAAAACTTCTTAATATCATCTGCCCACCTAACCTACTGCCTCCCCCTAACCCACTTGCCTTCTCTGGGAATCCAGTTAGTTACCCTTAATGATCAGCGGTTGTCCTGTCTACGCGCTACATGCCCGGTCCATGTGCATTTCCTCTTCTTGATTTCAACTATGATACCCTTAACTCGTTTATTCTCTAATCCACTCTGCTCGCCTCTTGTCTCTTAAGGTTCAATTCAATTCAATTCTTTATTTGCAAACTGTGAAACATACTGAAACATCATGACTGGTTGGACCCATAGCCAAAGGCTGGTTGGGGGTCCCAAAAAATAAATACCTAGGGGTTCCATGTATAAAAAAGATCTATCACACGCATACAGATGGTTCTCGTGCATTCTTAATTTGCACGAGCTAAACAAAGGTAGAGCGAAAGTGTCGGTAAATGCACGATTGTTTTTAACAGTTCTGACTTACGAAAACACAAGTAAACAAAGCAGATTGTAGCTTTATTATGAAGGTTAAAATATGCATGGCTAACACCAAAAAACAAAAAAAAACCATATCACTGGGTGACAATGGTATTTTTAAACGATTTCACAAGTTTCTGGCAGACACACATGCATACACTCATACACACAAATGACATCATAATTGTTTACATTGATAAACATTGTTCTGTGTAAGTAAGTATTCCTTGAGCATTGATGAAAAATTATTCCACTGTTTTATTTCTGCTGGTAGATTATTCCAAATTGTTGGCCCTGAAAACTGCAGCAAACGTTGTCCGTAAGTATTCTTAGGTGGAGGAAGATTGAAATTTCCATATATTTGATTTCTGGTTACATGAGAGGATGTGCAAAATAAAGAAACATGAAAAGGAAGGTTGTTTTTGACAACATTGAAAACACACGTGGCAATTTTTAATTCGTGTACCTCATCATAAGGCAAGTATTCATTTTCATAAACAAAGGCAGACTCGGCTCATTGTAGCAAGATTGGGTGATTAGTCTCAGGGCTCGTTTTTGAAGTTTGCGAACAGGTTCAAGAAACGTTTTATATGTCGTACCCCATGATTCATTGCTGTATGATATGTGGCTGTGAATGAGTGAAAAATATAAAGTACGCAGAGTATTGGTATCAGGATGATGACGTGCTTATGAAAGTGCGTAGCATCCCGAGGAGAGCTTTGTAAAAACTGCGTTTATTTGCTCTTGCCAGTGCAGATTTTTATCAAGTATCACGCAAAGATATTTAAATGAGCTGGCTTTGTGAAGTTGAAATTCGTTTATTCGCAAATCTAGTGATATAGGAGACATGATATTGTTCGTGGTCGAAACACTACATATTTAGTTTTTTTTTTGACGTTTATAGTAAGTTTGCTATTCACGAACCATTCACTTGCTTTTTTTAACTCATTGTTTGCTTTAGTTAGCAGATCTTCAGTGTTGTCCGCTGTTATAACAATACAAGTGTCATCGGCGTACATAATACCTCCACTAGTGTCTAAAATTTTTGGGAAGTCATTATTACATAATGAAAATAAAAGTGGCCCTAGGACGGATCCTTGAGGGACTCCAGTGCGCATATACTTTGCTAATGACGTAATACCGTTCATTCTAGCTACCTGTACTCGCTCATGAAGGTAGCTAGTGAGTAGATCTAATGGGTTACTGCGATAACCATAATGCTTTAGCTTATGTAAAAGTATGTTGTGATCAACCGTATCGAAGGCGTTTTTCAGGTCCAAAAATATGACACACACAAGTATATTACTTTGCAAAGATACATAAATTTTTTGAGTTAGCGTTAACACTGCTGATGAAGTGAGTGATTTGGGCGGAAACCATGTTGTTGCGGGCACATAATCTGATATTTTTGAATGAATTTGTGGAACCGGCTGATCAGAATTTTTTCAAATATAATAATAATAGTACTGAGCAAGGATATTGGCCTGTAATTATAAGGGTCACTGCGGTCTCCGTCTTTGTAGATAGGGACAACCTTATAAATCTTCAGCTGAGATGGATATCTGGAGCAGCTGACGGAGTGATTGAATAAGTGGCATAATACTGCTCCTAATACATTTATATTTTTTATCATACCATTAGGAATGCCGTCTAGTCCAGAAGATTTAAAAATAGACATTATATTATTTGCTGGTATCACGTCTTCAGGCTCAATGCTATACATAACGAAGGTGTTGGGCAGAGGGCTCTGCGATATAGAAATGTTGTCCAAGTCATTATATTTTTTGGCCAGTGATAGACCAATACCTGAGAAATATGCGTTGAAATTTTCAACAACGTCTTCATTAATGGTTTCGGGAACCACAGTTTGCTTACATTGTTTACCCATGATTTCGTTTATAATTTCCCAGAGTTTTTTCGTGTTGCCAGCGGTCTGTCTAATTAGTTGAGTATAATACTGCCTCTTTTGCGCGATCGAATCATAGCGACAGATTTATACCGCTGAGCTTTAAATTGCTGTAAGTAGTAGGGATTGTCTTTGTTATGGCGCCATTTGTTGTGCCAGTATTTTTTGGCCTTGAGTGTTTGAAGTATCTTTTCAGCCATCCAAGGGCACTTAGGTTTTTCATGGCGGCTTTTCTTTACCTTGCGATTACTCCTTTCTATAGCGTTTTGTAGGTATTTGATTAGGTTATCAGTTTCGATGTCAATGTCCTCATTGTGTATTTCGTTGTATTTAATGCCACAAATTTCTTGGCGTAATATGTTGTAATCTATTTTGGTTACGATGTTACTTTTTGTTTTCATTGTACCCGTAAAGGAATCTAAAACAGCAAATATAGGTAGGTGATCAGAGATTGGCTCTAAGTAAACGCCTCCGGTGACCCCGTGTCCAGATTTGTGAGTACGCGGTCGATTAAAGACGTCGATACCTCAGTTGTACGTGTTGGTGTCGTAATTAAGTTATGGTAGTTGTAAGACTGCAACAAATAGCCATAATCACTATCTGTCACGTTGTATGTGTTTATGTTCATGTCACCTACTATAATCACATCTACCATTTTAAATGCGAAGCATTTCTAAGCGAACTTCGGTGACTTTGCCCGTATCTATCTATCTATCTATCTATCTATCTATCTATCTATCTATCTATCTATCTATCTATCTATCTATCTATCTATCTATCTATCTATCTATCTATCTATCTATCTAGTCTAGTCTGTCTGTCTATCTATCTATCTATCTATCTATCTATCTATCTATCTATCTATCTATCTATCTATCTATCTGTCTATCTATCTATCTGTCTATCTATCTATCTATCTATCTATCTATCTATCTATCTATCTATCTATCTATCTATCTATCTATCTATCTATCTATCTATCTATCTATCTATCTATCTATCTATCTATCTATCTATCTATCTATCTATCTATCTATCTATCTAGCCGCCTACGACTTTTAGCTCTCCTGGCCGTTTCGATATTGATATCAATACCAAACTTGGTGTGGCATAACATGAGTGTATGAAGAACATATTTGACTAGTCATAACGTGAAAATCATGACAAAGATGTCATGAATGTCATGATTTACATTTCATGATCCTGCAGCTCTTGCGGTGGTTTTGATTCACATGGCATGCTGCAAAACTGGTGTGGTATGACACGATCGCATAGTGAACACAAGC